ATTACTTGATAAATCTTATTTATATTTGTAATATAATATATATACTTCTATTGTGGCAATATTAAAAAATTAATAATTGTACTATATTTATACTATTTATATAAATTATCTGTTTTTTGTATGAGATTATTACTTTTATTATCATCAATTACAACATAATATTCTTTACTGTAAATTACTCAGAATTTTATTTTAATTCGTAACATTGAATCCATTTCGCATAATAAACAAGTAAAAATTAACTCAGAAATAAAAAACCAGTTATCTATTTAGGCTACAGAAGATGTATTGAAATGGGAATCAGCTTATCTGGAAAATATACAAAATCTTTCGTATCAACTGCAAAGCGAAAGAAATAATTCTTTGATGCTTTATTACGAAGCTGGTAGAAGCTTCGGAGACATTTCTGGTTCATCTATGTTTCAAGATATAGATAAATTAATTGTAGGAATTTTATTAATGTTCCTATACGTCTTAATGATTTTGTCGAATCGTAATTGGGTGGAATGGCGGGTATGTATGATTATTACAAGAATAATAATATTTGGGTGATTTGAAATTTATATTTAGTGAAAGTTCTTTACACTTTTCCGCAGTTTTGTCTTACTAGTACCGGTCTTTTATGCGTGGGTGCTGCATTTATACTTGCGGTGGGAGTATGCTCTCTAATAGGAATCCCATATGGTCCAGTGCACACTTCGTTGCCATTTATGCTCTTGGGTTTAGGGATTGATGATATTTTCGTAATTAATGCATCTTGGAAGCAGATACATACCGATAAATCAAATTTAAATAAGCCATTAACAGAAAGAATTGGGCTTACGTTAGGTCATGCCGGTTCTGCTATCAGTATTACTTCGCTTACCGATGTCGTGGCATTCATCATTGGTGCTTCTACAGTATGTAGAATTAATCACTCAATACGCATGAAGAAGAATGTGTGACTGTGGCCAATTCATGATTTTATATTTCATTACTTTTTTTGTTTATGTTTATATTTATTGTTACTTATATTTATTCGGATATATTTTATACTTTAAAAGAAAATAATATACATGAATAGTTTTTTTTTTCATTAAATAATGTAATTGGTTCTTGTCATTATAATGAAAAATATTTTATTTTGAAAATATTTTATTTCATATGAGAATAGAACTTTTTTAGAACTTTGTTTTTATATAAAATATTTGCTATATCTTTTTTTATTTATTCTTACAAAAAAAAAACAATTATATATTATCAATTTGATTCAACTTAATTTCTGCATTTGTTTTAAAATACCTAGTCGTTTAATTATTTAATCTGCATGGAAATAATTACAATTACCAAAAGATATCGTCTTAACGTATAATATTCTCTTCTAGATATTGCCATCACTTCAGTCATTTTGTATCTATGCTGCAGTGGGTGTATTTGTGACATTTTTATTACAAATTACATTTTTTATTGCCTGTTTTACTTTGGATGCTAGAAGAATGGAACGAAAACGAAATGGGATGTTTCCGTGTATCACGCATGAAAACTTTACGCCCAAATTATCAGACGTGAGCAGTGCAGTCTCTTGGAAATTTATAAACTTCTTCTACTCGCGGATAGTCTTAACCACACCTGGGAAAATTATTATTGTATTAATTACTTTCGTAACGATGTCTACAAGTATTATGGGCTTGCTTAGGTTGCAACAATGGTTTGATCCAAAATGGTTATTACCGAAAGATTCGTATTTGTATCACTATATAGCTATCCGAACTCAAACATTTCCCAATCAAGGATATGAGGCCTTCGTCCTTATGGGAGATGATATTAATTATTCTTCTGAATTTTCTAAGATAATATCTTTGACAGAACGCTTTCAAAATGCATCTTTTATACAAAATATAGAATCTTGGCCAACTGAGTTCGCAAAATTCGTATCACTATATTATGACACAGGTTATTTATCATAATATTTACTTGAATCGTTTGTCTTAAAAGTGGCGAGACAAAAATTTTAATTTTTTTGAGATAAACACATTATTCGTCGATTAATTAAATAATTTTGCAAATTAATTGTATGTTATTTTTCACCAGATTTAAAATCTACAAAACTTACAGACGACAAGTTTCATTATTATCTATCGAAATTTCTTGTTAGTCGAGCTGGTGGCAAATATCAGAGAAATTTCTTTTTCAAAGAGAAGTTTAAATGCGGGAAGAATGCCCCACAAATCGCAGTAGCAACCATTGAGTTCTACTTCAAACAATTTGAAGGTCCTGACGAATGGGTTCCAGCGATGGATAATAGTAAGCTTCTAACAAACGAAGCGCAAATTCACGGATACGTGACAGTGTGGTGCAAAATGTTCGGACCTTGGACTGCTGATAAATTAATCAGTCAAGAACTATCACGAAACATTATCCTGGCATTAATCTGTGTTATGGGTACCACAGCGATTCTCATTGCTGAAATGCAGACTTGTTTTTGGATCTTACTTTGTGTACTTCTCACATTGCTAAATGTTTGCGGCTTCATGTATTTTTGGGGATTAACAATAGATGTGGTGTCCTGCATTGGTGAGTATATTTTTTTTTACTTTGTTTCATAAATTTATAGTTTTGTTATTTTGTTTATGTAAAAGATAAATATATACGTGTAAATAGGAAAAAATATTTGATAAAATGAAAAAAATTGTTTAATGAAATTCTGTTTTGCAATAAATCAATCTCATAAAGTATAAAGTAAATAAAATTGTGAATTCGATCCATTTATTGTAGGAAATTTTATTGTCATTTTTATTACTGTAATGATGACTGCAAGGAGTAAATATAAAGATATTTATATTACGAAATCACGAGATTGCATGCAAAGCTCAATTTTTATTCTCAATTCTCATTTTGATCTTCATAAAATTCTAATCATTCTATTATAATATATATTTTGAGAAAATATATATTATAATAGAATATATTATAATATATTATAATATATTCTATTATAATATATATTTTGAGAAAATATATATTATAATAGAATATATTATAATATATTATAATATAAAATATACAATACGGATTATTCTCGTTGCATTAAAGTGATTTTTTAAACGTTTAAAGCGAATTTCTTGTTAATTAAACACAGTCAGATTCAGTAAGAATCTTTTACAGGTCTCGAGCTGGGCGTCGGTTTGAGTGTGGATTATGCCGCACATGTTGCACATGCTTTCCTGAATGCTGAGTCGCGAGAGGATGATGTTAATGCTCGTAAGACCCGAACATTGGTCGCAGTCAGGCATATCGGTGCAGCGGTCGCATATGGTGCAGGTTCAACATTTCTCGCCGTTTCGATGCTGGCCTTCTCGTCGTCCTACGTGTTCATGGCCTTTTTTCGAATATTTTACTTGGTAATTTTGTTCGGACTGTGGAACGGATTGATCCTACTACCGGTCGTGTTAAGCAGTATTGGGCCGCAAAGTTTACGTGTGACACAAAAGCCACAACCCATGTCCGAAAAAGCCATTTCTGTGATTGATGATGAAGATTGAAACGGAAATATAGACATTTGTTCAGGCAATCCTCTTTCTTTATCAATAATATTTATTTTTGGTTCAATAAACATACAAAATTATTACACTATCCGTACTATTAATCACACATTTATACAAAAATAATAATTAATAATAATAATGATAATAATACGTCTGATAACTTAAAAACGGCATTATTTATAAATTTTTATGTATATGTGTATATAATATATTAAGATTAAAAAATTAAGAAATATTAAAAAACAAGTACAAAATAATGTAGCAAGGTTGATATAGATTTATTATCAATTATCATCGATCGGAAAGGAACATGACTATTATAAACGTAACGTAATTATGTTTTGTTGGATGCGTTTATCCTTTATGGATAATCATAATTAATGTTTATGACGTAAAAATGAGCGGCGAGGGAGCGACCTCGGGATTGATTGGCAAGCTCCCTCCGCTGCCTCTCTCAGTCTTGCACAATCCATCTGACATTCGTTCAGCCGTTCATTCATACAACCCCATCTTCCTTGTTTCTTTTTCAAGTTGTCTCTTCCACTTCTCATGGCTCAATCAGACGGATCTCCGATTAATAGCGACAAGAAGAAAGGGAATACAAATTGAATGAGATGTACAGAGAGACTGGAATATAATAGACACACAAAAATTCGTACACGTTCGCTCACTAACGTACATCAGAAACATTCTCGGAGGCGCGCACGTTGTCTCCATATTCAAGCATACGACGGTAGTTAGACTGCCGGGGGCAGCAAGCCACGCATGAATGATACGATGATTAAGTTATTACACATCTTCTTAGTTAAGTCGAATTTTACAAATCGGGATTCATATATTCCATAATTGATGAGGAACCATCGATACAATAATAATAATAATAATATTTACTTAGCAAAACGTGCCGATCGGTAATTGTGGCGAATGACGCGTGATGTGAGCACAGTTAGTTGCGTTTAAAAGACGGGGTGTCGAGGTACTGGAGAAGATTCGGGGGTCGGGCTCGGGAGACAAAGGACGGCGAGGATCCACAATAGGTCGATACACGGCCGGGGACGTGACGCGGGGGAGAGGCTGAACTCGAGGACGACGGTGACCGAGGGCGTTGGATTGTGAGGGAATCTGCTCGCCGGGGTTTCAAGGTACACGCACTTGAGGGGTACACCGTGGGAAAGACACTCAGGGCAGACAGACACCGACATAGAGACTAGGCTACCGACTATACGTTAATATCTATCTAAACGTTTAATTAGTGTACGCACCGCGTACACACCCGGTACGCCCGCACCTCCGTTCGCTTTTTTTCTCTCTCTTTCTCGGCTCTTTTATTATCGTTTTATTATAATCAGCAGTCGCGTCGTAGTCGTGTCTCTTTTCCTTCCTTTCTTTTTTTTTTTTTATAGTAAACGCTATGTAGTCTTTATTACTCAAGCTTATGCCCAAAAATCTACCAGAGGCACTTTGGGTTTATTAGTACCATTTGAAGTCGGCGTGCGCGGGGGAGGGTACCGCACGCCCCGTTCTCTTGTGCGCGGAACAGCGGGCGAGTACGCGATCACGCCTCATCCTCGAGGGAAACCGTTGGTTGTCGGATCGTTCGGTTGACCCGTTACCATCATTATTAATTGTACCATTTCCCACCTCTTTTCCCTGTCGCGCGATTATTACCCTGTCTGGCGATGTGTCTTCGCCACCGCGTAGATTCTCTGTTCCTTCTTCCGACTTTCCATCCCACCCTCCCCCCAATTCCTTTTCCAGTAAGCCTACCAACAACTCCATATCTTTTACCCGCTTCCTTACCTTTCCACCACGGTCTTCCGATGTTTTTTGAGCAATAAATACTTTCTCCACGTATAACTGCACATTGAATTGACGCACAGGACACATGCACACGCGCATACACGTCGGACCGTCATTCGCTACCAGCCGTACGCATTGACAGAACGTCACGTTAAATGAACTCGAAGAACACCCCAGCTTCGAATCCCATTAACTCCTTAATCCTTCGCAAGAGTATGTAAAATCATACCAGGATCAGGCACTCTGTAGATCGGACTTGTGTCGCCCGATTTACAGGTAATGTGGTGTGATTTGGCAATTTGTGCGTAAATACGAAGGAAATGACAGGTTGATCGGACAACTTTATTCAACGGTGCGGCGACTCTTCGGCAATGCTTTCGGCTCTCGATCAAACACACATCCATTCGCGCAGCTCACTTTCACGCACACCAATATGGCTACATCCACAGAGTTAATGTTACGCTTTTAATTAATGATTATCAATTCAATATCAATTCAATATCAATGTATTACAATCAGACAATACTCAACAGTGATCGTTATTCATTATATATTACAATAATTAAGAGTGACAACAACATGACGACGGAGGCGTTGAAGCATTACAAGGGAGAAAGAGAGAGAGAGAGAAAGAGAGAGAAAGATGGGTAGATAGAGATTGAAAGTGGTACGTAGATGAATTCCAGGAGGATGAAGGAAGAGCAGGAGAACTTCGATGGTGGACATGCTACAAACAGTATGAGAGGAGAGAGAGGGATTGGAAGGTAACGATGGACATAAGGATAAGGGAGGAAAAGGATAGGGGTTATCGATGATTATGGAATAGCGACGATGACATCGGTGATGGATGCACGACGATAGGAATGAACGATTAAATGGCGAAATGGAACAATGAGTCGCGGAGACCAAGGAGGGGGGAAGCACGCACACTCAACACAACCGTCACATCGAGCTGGCCTCGCGCGCGGCCATAGTCCATAGATTAATTACTTACTAACTAATACACAGTCTGTCTCCGTTGCGCGGATGACTTATTTTTCCCTCCCTTCTTCCTTCCCTTCTCGAGCGCCGTGTAAGTATACGTAATACACCATATTAAATACGCACGTGCGTGCGGTACGGCGCTGCCGAGTTATGGAGCGTGCGACAGCGCGCTTATAAGCGTGTGAGCAAGTGAGACTTCCTTAAGTCTCGTTTTGTGTGATAAAGTTATGGCAAAATAACTCGGCGCGGAATACCGTCCTACCTGCTCGCACGCGCGCCTCCTCATCGGATACTAGATATACGCACACGCACACACAGGCATGCTTGCGCCAGTATAAAGTGTATATATGTACACATATACATACGACATACCATCCATACATATATAATATATCCATATCGTTTAATTATTTCATCGTTATCGATAATTATCATTATCTCTTAAAATTCGTCAGTTCAAAAAATTTCAGCTAGAGTAGCGGTGGATGGAAATGTTTCTTCGTTAAAAATCGCCAGATCACCGAGATCACGGCACCGGCAATCGACCGTATTATTTTTTTTAAACACATTTACAAATTATCGATCGATATCGCGGCTGATTCCCTCACTCGCGCCTCTCTTATCACTAGCGTGTTTCACATTATTACATTCATTTTTAAAATCACTCGCGGTGCAAACGGGCGTGCGATCACCGCGCGGCGAGAGAAACGCTCTCGCCCCGCTTTTGCACTCGACTCGACCGTCAAGTCGAGGGGTGATCGTACATTTAATATCCTATTACAATTATTCATGATTTTTGATATCTTATATACAATTATACGCGCACGCGGCAATGTGCTTATGATTATGGCCACACCTACGAACTGGCGACCTCTGAGAAGACTTCCTCGACACATACTTTTAACACTTAGTCCTTTAATTAATTCCCAGTTAACTCGCGACGCTTTTAGCCCCCTTGTCTGGAATAACTCCAAAGTTCACTCGCGATTCGCGTTAAGCTGAGAAAACTGGCTTTTGCACGGAACCTGAGATTATTGATTTCAAGGTAGGCCAGTTCCCCTCGTTCGTGTCGTTGATAATTACATCGGACCGCGATTGACCGCTCAGCAGGGTAACTCTTGACGAGCAGATTTCGTCATGTGTTTCATGGAATTCATGGTCATGCATCAGGGATTGTCCGCCGCCATTATATTGTGCACTTGCTCCAGCTTGTACGCCAGTCTCTGCTTCTGCGAGAACTCGTCCTCCTCGAGCGTGACTATTAGTTGTTCGTTGTATTTACCCGCGTATGTATACAGTTCGTATAAAGCACAGTTCGTGTTAAACTCCGTTGTGTGCAACTGAAACAAAATTAAACGAATGTTGATGCGTTAGAAATCGTATTGAACAAATTTATGAAATTTATACGTTACGAATATAAAGATGGATAAATACCCTCGACTCTTCGGCAAGCATGGCATTCATGTCTTGATCGGATATGGCTGGCATGACTTTAATATCTGAGTAGTAACGCTCTACCCACTCTTTGTACACTGGAATGTCCTTCGCGTATAATAGTTTCGAACTCGGAGAGTCTTTACCTAAGAACAGCAGAAAAAAAATGCATTCCTGAATCTCCTTAATTAACGCAGATGTAATGTAAAAATTGGTAAAAATTACATACCTAATCTATGATCCGACGTTGAGCAGCTATCCATAAATGTCTGCGCCACGACGGACAAACACGAGTCCACAATGTTAGACTTGTGTATATCGAAAATAAAATTCGGATTTTTTATGAGATTAACCCAAAACCTAAGGGGAAGGGAATTGCTCTTCCACGTGTGGACCACTTCCGGATCGGATATGCCGTGTTGCAGAGCTTGGTCATCCATGAAATCGAACATGTACTTGATGGCGAGAGGTAGCGCCGAGCCTCGATGGGCAGTGCTGAATATTGTCTCGAACAGATCGTCGACGAATTTCTGGAGAGTACCCTTTGTTGCCAGTAACCTCGTCAAATAGATCTCTGAGACCATTTTATTTCCGCGATCTCCCTCCTTTCGCGCGTCAGAATCATGGTGCTTAACAAGATGCCAAATCTTCATACCAGCTTCAATATTTTGATTAAGCGGAGAAGTGGCGCGAGAGAGAGGAGGACTTGCCGAACTGAACTTGCTAAGATTCAAAGTTTCGTATTTGTGCGATTTGTCTGTCTTCTCTGACAGAATTGAAAGGTTGTATATAGACGATTGTTTGGAGACTAAGTTGAGTGATGCTCCATCCGGTACCCTGTAATGATTCAAAGTGTTTCTCTTCTTCCACTCGCCTTCTGTCTTCGTTGTCGAATCTTCGTCGTAGAGAATTAATCTACCGGACGCGCCAGTTCGCCATTCTGCAATATTTCATTAAGCATAATATGAGAATCGCATAATTTTACATGAAGTTTAATAAGTATTCAAGTGCAAGATTTTTTTACCAAGATCAAGATCCTCCTTTCGAGGTCTTTGACTATACGGAGTCGCTCGGTAGATCGTATCCAACGCTTTTTCCTTCACTTGAGATATTGTGTCGCAGTCAAGGACCTTGACTGGCACGTTCTCCGTGTTAGGATCCATTCCGCCAACAAACACGGTTTGTTGAGATATCGAAACATAAACCGTCTAAAATTGTAATAGAAACATTATTATTATTATTGCAAAGCATTAACTTATCTTGTCGAATTATTAACGCATCTTTACCATTGGCTTGAAGTCGATGGATTGTCGAATCAATTTTTCTTCGGATAAAGAATATCGTGCTTCTGAAGTAATCGCATCGACAGGACCCTTATCGACCTGCTGTTTTACAGCGCGAAACAATACGTACAATGGTTCACCGGCGCATTCTCTCATAAATTTGTACAAGAGAAATGTGAACCAAGCAGACAACATCTTCTCAGCAACGCTCTCAGTCCTACAAAATAAATAAGTTTCTTTAAATCACAAGTATCTTCATCGAATATTAATAACTGAAAGTATAACGTCATATACTTACCTCCTAAGAAATAATTTTGGATGGCTTTTGCCTTCAGTGCACTTCTCAATAAGATCCGCCAACAAAGTTTTTAGGATGTCTGTGCAATATTCCATTTTGCTCTGCAGCGTAACCATAATCAGGCTGGCAACGTTAACTCGATCTCTCATCGAGAAATAACGATTGCTCTCGAGCGTTCGTACGAACAGTAATAAGAAAGTCTTATTCATTATCAGTTGACCGAATAAGCGCAATCCTTTCTCCTTTCGTACAAGTTCTGGCCTATCCCACTGCAGTACCGGACTATTATCGTCGCTGGGGAATAATATCATCATCGCATAAGTGCGGTAATCAAGGAAGGGTATGCCACCACTAGTAAGGTCTCCTGTGAGATCAGTCATTTCTGTCTGTAGTTCGGCAAAAGCCTCCTTACACTCAGCAGCGACTCGTAACTCGAGAATATCCATCTGCTCCTGCATATTTTTCAACACACGATTGCTCTCCGTAGATTTTCGGCGATAAGCGATAAGGAACGCTATGAATACGACTACTAAGATCACAATGGCTACGATCACGCCTATGAGCGCGGGTTTCGACAACGGCCCGTTCAATCCAGCTGGCAGTGCGTAGCTAAGCTTGCCAATGTTATAATGAAGCGTACCGCCCACTATTAACACCACCTCCGGCAATTCTTGTTTATTGGGCAGACCTTGGGCATCAATGGCTGGTGGTTGCGTTAAGGGTGGTCGGCAGGTGAGTTGTTGCCGTGATAAAGATGTGACATTGCAAAAAGCGTTACCGATTTGCACAACCACATCGGACTCTTGGCAGGCACGATCGAGATGTTGACCATTGATCGTCAGATAATCACTCTTATAATATTTGACTTCCTCATCGAAGACTTCATAGATCGGATTTGGATATAGAAGAAAGTGATTAAAGCCGTGCTGCGAGAGATTCTGCACGCCGGTAACATTGTCCATGCGGAAACCATATTCGAGAGAAAGCGGACGTTCGGCATCCAATATTATGTGTTCGGGTACTTCGATGGTCGGTGACTTGCACACCATGTTCTCCTGACTGTGCACCTCGCATTGCGATACGAACATCTTCTCATCATAGTAGACATACATTTGTGGACTTTGTATGTAACCGAGATTCTTGCCGGTCACTGAGATCTTTATTCCACCCGCTGGAATTCCCTTTGGGACCTTCATTTGACCGGCCACGCCGCTCTCCACGCTCTCAATTGTTGGATCGTCGACATATTCAAAGTGGCCATCATATAAACGTTTGCCACCGTCAAAAGACATCTTCAGCAAGCCATTTCGCTTTTGATCGCTTGGACTCGTCATGCAAAGAGCCTCGTTAGGTTCGGCACTTATTATAGAGCAGGGAAGATCGTCAATATCAGCATGGATAGTGCTGCCGGCGTTCATATAATTACCGGTGATCTTGATAGTAGTACCACCGCTCAAAGGTCCGTACTTGGGTGATATTGAGATAATCTGTGGATCCACAAATTCGAAATTATAGTCTGATTCGCCGCGGAAGTCTTCGATCTTGACGATGACAGGTCCACTCCTGCCTTCCTGCGTGCCAGGTCCATCGACTCGGCAAACGATTTGCTTCGTTCGAATATAAAGTTCCTCATACGGTAGACATCGCATACCGGCTACGGTAACGCCCCCAACTATGTCCTGCAACGTATATTAAAATTATGTAGGTATATTAAATAATTTAGTTGGGTAACAAATACTGATATCGTAATAATGATAATAAAAGGTTAACATGCTAAATATATAAACACGAATGAGATACATATATTCGCAATACACGAATGAGTATACTGAATATTGTAATTTAAAAAATCTTTAGGTATCGCATATTAATATTTAAAAAAAAGAGATCTTACTTATTTAAAACAGAATAACAAATTAAAAAATCAGGTTGTCTTTAATAGAATTTTAATAATTTAATTGTCAATGTAATTTATTTATATTTCTATAAATAAATATAAAAATTTATAAATACATATTTTCAAAAGTAAATCAAAAATTTTTTTTTAATATTAACTTTTAGTTGAGATATGATTAGATAAAAATAGTGATATCGTAAAAACATTTTTTAATGAATATTGGAAGATCATGGCGTTTAAGGCATTTAAAATAAATTTGATTTCAGAACGCTCGATCTAATGCGCTTTTGGAAATGTTTAATAACTTCGTATAACTTCTGCAAATTTCGAAAGTGCTTTAAAAATGTAGATATTCTTTAACAAGTTTAAAAAAAAATCGATCTTTTCTATTAATTATTGTGATATATTACTATGCAAACAACAAACGAGAACGATAGACGAAAGCAACTATATTTTACTTCGATAACGAGTAACAGATAAACAAAATGACGTCTTTCTTACCTTGAATGTCTTGCCAAGATTGATACCGCGAATCGTCACGTTTGTGTTGCCTTCCCAGGGGCCCATTACCGGCTCGAATGATTTTATCTCCGGATTTGGGCAGGTCTGGTTGCTGTTCAGCCACATGCCAGTGCCGCGGTCGCACTGATCCTTCACCTCGCATCTGTCTGAGCTCTGGCACCAGCCACATCCGTACTTTGTTGGCAGAGCCAAGCACATGCCGCAGTTGTCTGCCATATCGCGGCAACGGTATATCACAAGGTGTATATTGTCTGGATTATCCAAAGGTTTGGAGCCGCCCCAGATTACTGCGAAAGGTACCGTGATATTCGGCGCGCGAGAGGTATAAGAGAATTCCGTTTCCTCGCAGTAGATCGTGTCAGCTAGCAAACGCGCATTTACGCTCGTCACGCGACCCTCAATGTTGAATTGGCACACGAACCGCGTCTGTATGATGAATTGCTGAAAATTTGCCAGAATGTACATTAATATCTCAATAGAATTCTGAATTCAATGATGTACTTAATTTTTGCATATAAAAACTAAGATTTAAGATGTTCATTAAATTTATCATTTCATGCCCAATTTCTTCACGTCTAGATAACTTTATCCAAGAGATATCTCCTAGAATACAATGGAGATATCTCCTGGATAAGGTTATCCGCAACTTATCTGGAAGTGAAGAAATTGGGCATTAGAAATGAAATTTAGAAAAGCTCGTGAAATTTTTGTAATATTTTATAATTCCACAAAAAATTCGGAGATAAAAAATAATCTAATTATTAGTGATGTAGTAGTTTTTTTTTACTTACCCCAATGATATGCACTTTAACTCGTATCGCTTTTTTTATACCGGAAGACACGAGGATCTCTTGAGATTCGGTGGCATTTATAGTGGGACAAAAACCTGGCCCACTCCTATAGCTTGGTCCCATTCTCTGCAAGATGTACATAAAGTTATCACAAAGGCAAGGTAATATTTTAATTAAACTAATATATTGTTAAAATAATTCTAAATTTTTACGTTTTAAATTCATCTGTTTTCATATTTTATTTCACTCATGCTCTATTTTTTTCATCCAATTTATTAGGGTGCTGCTGTTAGCACTTTATCTTATTTAATTCGATTTTATTCCATTTGATTATTTTAGATATTATACAATTCAAATCATAGAGCAAAGTTCTCAGCACCAAGTTTTCATCAAAAATTACAAGTTAATTGATAATCACATATTAATATTCATGGAGTGAACGCAACGTTTTAACTCCAAATCAAATCAAGTTGATGTCGAAATGAAATTAGTTGATGCATGTTAACATGTACGCAACAACAGAATCGCAATTCTGCTCTGAAATTAGATGTTGTGAGTTTGCAGCACATATGAATCGTTTATCTTGCGAAAATGATGTAAATCCATTTTGAAACTTTAATGAATTTCAGTAAAATGTGAATATAAGCGAATACATGGTATTAATTTCAGCAAGAGTTTTTTTCACATTTAAACTTATACTTTCTTATAATTTTTTACTAATTTTAAAAGTATGCGTATATACACGTGCATGTCTTTATTTTGTAAAGGAAATTTACAACAATAATGAATATAACAATTTTATTTGATATGTGGAGCATTGTTATTAATTACCTTCATACAAAATCAAGATATGTATGCGTATATATATGTAATTTTAAATGTAAAAAATTGTGATAATTATATATCAATTACTGTGTGAGCTTGGAAATATATACGTTTAACTTCTTTGGCTGTATTTAAATTACTACAGATTTCTTAGGAACTTCTTGGGATTTCTTGTGTGGCGGTCGAGTGTATCTTAAAGGACCATTTATAATAGAGGTAATAAATTGTAAGCCGTAAAAAATTGACCAATCATAGTCAGTTATTCTGCTCATATTCGACTGTAAGTGGTCAATTTCTTATGGCTTACGGTTTACTTTATTATAGATATGGTCTTTAAAAGTGTAAATAATATCAAATATTATTTTTACTCTAGTTAAAATCAAATATATAAAAAAAATTCAACACATGTTAATAGTTTTGCTACACTCAAGATATTTGCAAACTTGTATACATATATATATATTTTTTTTTAAATTAATGATATGATAATTTACTCAATATCTTTCATATATTTAATATAACATAATATTTAACATTCCCATTTGCCCGAGAGATTTAGCAAGAAATATTAAACGGATACAGAAATTTCCTCGCAATAATTTCAGATTACTATTGATCTAAAAATTATTATAAATCACTTATAAAATAATATAGTTTTGATTATATATATAAACTTATTAAATTTTTGCGTGATTCATTTTATTATATATTTTGATACGAAGATTTAAAATGCATACCTATCTATCAATCAAAGTTAGACTAAATCATTAAATTAAAATTCAAGTAACAATATTTTCCTTACGTTTTATTACGTTTTGATAAAGTTCTCAAATCTAGTGATAATACTTGTAATTTAGGCGACGCGAATCGATTAAAACCAAAATGCAAAAATAATAATAGCTCTTCAGAAATCGATTTCGAATACAAACGACATATTCGAACCGTGTTTATTTGATAAACCGTTGTATATTTCGGTAGAACGAGGTGACAACATTTTGGCTGGCGTATAGCCTTGTTTTATGTGGCATACGGTGGGTCGATGTATAAGCAAGGTCGGTACGCTACCATTCATGCGGTTAATACAGAAGCAGGCAGACAGCAGCACAAGCCACTCCGCGTGCCGTCGCATTATTATTATTCGTAATGTGAATATTCCGACCAATTAGTGATTATCGGTCCGCACAATCAATAACTCCTACAATTTATTAATAGTGCGCGAGCATATTGGAGCAAAGACTGTTTAGCGAAACAATATTTCGCATATGTTACGTTTATTTATTTTTGGAGATTGAGACCGTAGAAGATAGGATTCATATAAATCACTATTCCGTTGCAATAATTACAGTAAGTACAAAAAGTATTTGTACAGGATAAATTTTTATAAAAAAAGCCTTATTTGTAGAAAATTAACATTAATTATATACAATTAGTTTTGTCCTAACATAAATAAAACAGCTTTGCGTGTTTCTAATTTTAGAAGTTAAATTTCTCGACTGTACGAATTTTTTTAGGCCCAAAAAAAGTAATTTTTTATTTTAGCTTACTTTAGGATAACATATTTTAATTATTTCACATCTTTGTACGTAAAATAATTTTGAGGAATATATTGCCTATTTTATTTTTTGTTAATAAATTGTTAATTAATGTTTATTTTTTTTAAATAAAGTTATTTTAAAGATATTTCCTCTGTACGAATATTTTTTGCACTCACTGTATATTCCTTTAGCTTTATTTATATTTGAATACGTCTCACGCATTGAGCTACATATTTTTTAAAATTCATGATAAATGTAATTACAATTTCCGAATGCGTGAGCGCGAGAGCGGAGTAACGCTCGAGTTATTTGATCGAATAAGTCAATTGAAGCGGCACTTAGTATTATTTATTAATAATATTTTGTGCAATTGTATTTTGCGCATTATTGTCAATGTTGGAAGTGCTACGTAAAATGATACACGAGATCGTCATACTCTAGTAATTGAAGCGCAATTATTACTAACTGTGTTTTCGCGAATATATTGTGTTATGCAAATACAATAAAACAAGAGGAAAAAGAAAAAAACATTGAATGACGACGGAGCAATCAAGTAGGTTAATATTTGTATGTCATTTGTTATTTAAAAGATTTATAGTCATTTATAGCCATTTCCACTATTTGAATCGTTTATTCAAATTCAAATAAGAATTAAAGAGAAAGCTTTTTTTTTGGAAATGAAACATATATATATATATATATATATATATATATATATTATTTGACTCGAAATCTTCTATTGACCGTTTATGAAAATATCGGTCAATTTTTTCTTACTCTAAAGATAAATAATAAGATACTTACGCTAACTCCCGTGACAAGAATGTCGTTCCGACAATTCTCCGCCGTATCGTGTGTGCACCGATGACCGTCAACACACCAGTCACATGGAAAGCTCGATGATACGCATTGTGTGCAGGAACTGTACGTGTTGCAATCGAAGAAAGTGAAATTTGTCGCTACCAAATCGGGCCCGTTTGTCATCCGAACCGACAGTTTGGCCGTGAAATGGTGTCGGCCCGGCGGTATCGATGGCAATAAATCGGTTCTCGGTGTGGTACAGTTCACACCGTAGGACTTTCGCGAAGCATTCGTGATCAGAGTCTTGTCGAGGGCGGAAAATGCGCACAGAAACTGCCCGGACAGCGTCGGCAGGTTCTCGATGACGAGCTCGAGAGTCCTGGCAGTGGTGCGTTGCAGTTGGTCTGGCGTGACAGTGGTGATCGTTGTGCATCTACCACTCTTGTAGGAGATCCAGTAGAGTGGATCTTTAGCCGCGTCCTGACAGTCGCTGCGCAGATTGCACTTGTTTTCCAACGAGCACCAGCCACAATATGGATCTTTTGCGCCCAGACAGTCCCAGCACGTCTTGTAAACCGAACACTCCTGCACCTTGACCTTTGAGACCTTCTTCTCCGTCAGCACGTAAAGATGCATCAGTTGCGAATCGAATAGCAGATCCGGGTTCACTGGAGAACCAGGATCGATCTCAAGATCACCGTACTCCAATGCCAGCGTCGAGCTCTCTACTACCACCTGCAACAGGAATATACAAATTTTTTATACAAATTGATTAGCGCAGTTTATTTATTTTAATTAAACTATTGTAGGTAGAATAGTTCAATTACAGGAAGGAGTGTGTGTTATTACACATTTTTTAATCAAATAAGAGACAGAATTCCCTATTTCGGTCGAAAAAAATTTTGATGTTTAACAATATTCATTATCTACTAAATTGACAATCAATTGTAATTTGTAATATTTCTAATTTATGATTGCATTTCAAGTCCAATAATATGAATTAGTGCAGTTTAGAAAATCATAAAAATGTATTTATAAATCTATATGGAAAAAATAATTTTGCTGAGTTATACCATATAAGATAGAGATACAGATCTGAAAATTATTTTGTTCGATCATCACGATAATCATGTAGGATATTCGAGCTGATTGTTAGAATTGTTGAATGTCAAAAGTTTTTGCAGCATTGCTCTTCATGCTTAAGTTTCGTACATAATTATTTTGATGGTTCATCTTATTTTCAAATCTGTATCCAGCTAAATTTTTAAATATTTTAACAGAATCCTTTTTTTCCCGTGGAAATATGAATATATTGTATATAATGATATATTATACAACATTAATATACACTTCGACCGAAAATAGAATTCCTTCTTATTTGAGTTATTTGTTCTAATTTCCACTTATAATATTTTTTAATAATTCAAGTTTTTATTTAATTGCATACAAAAAATAGATAAAAATAAATCTATAAATGTTTAATAAATTTTTCATTAAAAAATTTCAGAATGTTCATAAAATTTTGCAATATAAAATTGTACATTTTACTGAGCTTATTATAAAATTTCTTCAATTTTTCCTGTTCATTTCAATGCAATTTATTTAGTGAGGATAAAGTAATGCATTCTTATCACGTCAGAGACCATGTGACACAAAAACCTGATTAAAATATAATTATCTTTAATAATTTGAAGAAGACTGACGTACATGTATCGAGTTTCATACAATTAGTTTCAGTTTGGCTTGGTCGACAATTTTTCAATTGCTAGTTAAAAAATCGGGGATTTACAATAATTGGCGAATTTGTGTAAAATTAGAGAGACAGTCATTGATGATTGCAGTTAACAGGCTTGTATAATATATTTACCGTATATATATGCCAGGATGTTCTTGTATTAACGAAACGAGGATGACACGAACGGAATGAAGAATTAAATATTTACAACGAAATTATGAACAACTGCTAGCCCGGCTAGCGCGGAGTAAATGTTCCTACCGTTTAAGTATTTATTGGGTATTAATTATCGATATTAGTTCGGTGATGACCTCTCATTGCATATTCCGTTTTCCCCATTTCCACGATAGTGAACATTCCCAAAAATATTGAAACGTACAGTCCCTTGTCGACGTATTACTGATTTTAATAGTAATGGCATACAATAATCCGACTGCAACATTCGACAGAGCGGTGAATTTTACTTTTGTATTATGGAAGTGATGTGGATATTTACATCGTCACGTAGATTCATTCCCGTAAATTTCCCAGGTGGATACCGTATATTCGTTGTATAAGTTTTTTAACTTCAATGCCGACTGGTGGTCACCAGACATCAGGTATAAGATTGCAGCCACCGAAAGTAACAGTGTAGATACAATTTGCACGCTATTATTTTAACGTGAGACTCTCAACGCGTCACATTTTTTTCATGGGCGAGCACAGTGCAATCATCTCTGCCAGGTGCACTCGCGTAGCATTCATTTTCTTAGACCTCACCGCAAATCCCATTCGTGGTCGCGGTTAAAGGGTCATAAATTAAATCTTAGTTCGCGACGTCCCTCGCTTTCAATTGACAGAGAAATGACGACGAATGGAAGTCCCAGAGGGCTAGAATCGTTCGCGGGTCTAATAAAAAGATCATTCTTTCGAATAGTAATAACAGTAATCATATCGAAGCAGGACGTGGATCGCTTTAGCAGCGACGTTTAGCTTCGATGTAGCACATTTACTGAGAATGGTATTCGCTGCTCATCTGGTAATCATTACTATCAGCTTAAAGATTCTATACAAAGACCACGGTAATATAACAGTCGCATCATTAGCTCCGCAAATTCTTAATAGGCTAATTAATCAAATTTTTCCTTCAGCTTTTAAATATGTAATTTTTTTTATTTCATTAATTAATTTTGTAAATCCTTCGATTCCGTAAATTTTAAAGAACGTTTGTCATTCTCTTTTAGGAAGTGCAGTTTACGGAAATATTAAACTCTTCAACATCATTGCACTAATATTGGCACAATTTAAACCGTAGCTTATTAATGTAATGTAATATTGAAAAAGACGTACACATTAACGTACTAGAAACGAGCTATTCTACCAAAGCAGAAATGGAATAGTTAAGCATTCGTGTGTAATTTACAACAAATTGAATTGAGAGAGTGAAGCGAAGGTCGTGGTAAACGCACAGCGCGCAGTCACTATTCCGATTTAATTAACAAATATTAATTAAGTCGCGTCGCGCAGCGCGAATCGAGCCAACAGGCAATTTGCCGCAATTTGGTAAACATCTGTTCGTCTATTCCACAATGCTCATTAGGACAATAATTAATGCCTTTTAATATAGGTATAGAGGAATAGATTATTACTTATATCATTGACAATTCCCCATAGTCATGAATATAAACGCAGGAATTAGATTAACCTAAACGAATAAGACAGAGATTTTTAAATCCTTAATAAATCCGTAATAAAAAACCAATTAATACTTTATGTAAATTATAATATCTTTCGAAAGTTCTGCCAGTTCTACGGTAATCTAATTATTTAATTGAACCTCGATATTTTATGCCAAGTGACCTTCGTGTCTTCAGGAAGAACTTGCATTGTTAGGTAGATTCAACCTTGCGAAATGTCGAGAAATATCGTGGCATAGTGAAGTTTGGAAGAATCTTAAGTGAGGGCTAAGGGCTGTCCACTACGTACCGATCAGCATTCGACCTCTGGCCGAGTAATGAGTCGTTACTTAAGACAGGCAATCACGGCGCGGTAACTATGTTACAATCTTTGCGTCTAAGCGGGTTGGAGAGAAGCGGGAGAGAAATAATAACAATAATTATTAGGCTACCGAGTGTTAGTGGTGGTTGTTAATTCTAAGGTTCACTCGGCGGTATCCACGGCTGGTCTTTTTAGCGTGATTTCGTTCGCGTCGGTATATACGCTAACGCGAGTGCGATGTTCGCGCGTCATTCGGCCTCGGCAAATCCTCAGCTAACGTCGACGCACAAAGAGGCTTTAATAAACGCGCGGGGATAAAGGCAAGGTCGACGAGGTCGAGGATGAGCCGGTAGGAGGGTTAAGAGCGAAGGGAGGAGACGGAGGAGCAGATAGAAATTATTTCTTAATGGAAGAAGAAGCATCGTGGCAGACGCAAACGCAAAGAGGGTACCTGGTAATGATGAAGAAGAGAAGGAGACAAGGCGTAGGCAAGACGTTTGCAAGAAAGTTGCGTGTAGACGATCTCAAGCACAATAGATGCAAAAAATGACAATAAAATAAATTTTCGAGGTAAAAGGAAGAGTAAAAAATAATTAGCCGAATAAACGTAAGAAAAATTGATAAAAATACAATATGCTAATTAGTAAGTGCAATAAATAACAAACGGAATTCGATATATTAAAATTTAAATTTTCAGAAATTTTATAGGTACACACAATTTAAGTCACGAAAAAGACAAATATTCAATAATTATTCCAATTCATAAAACATGATGCTATATTAATCGAAAACAATAGTTAAATCTTTATCTTTTTTTGTGCACGAGATATTAATAGAGAATAAATATTACTTATAATTGAAGTATTACTTAATTAGAGTTTTATTTTACATCGAAATAATAACTGTTGAGTTCTTGTCAAAATCTTGTCATTTTGTTGTCCTCTAACTATGTATTTCATGTACTACGTCAATTAAAGCAAAATTAGGGAACTATTTAAAGGCAAAGCGGATACGAATAAAAGAAAAACGGCCTATAAGAACAAATAAATGGTAGAAAAAAAGGAAAGAAATTAAACGCAAGACGGAAAATAAGATATCCATCTTTTGCGTCTCGACACTCAATCGATGACGTTTTAACGTGAGGAAAATAATAATCACGACGCTACCGAGAGGTAGGCGGACGTTTTAATTAACGAGCTGGTTGCGCTTCCACTTTTTTTGGCATATGCGATTGCATCTATCCTTGCGTTTGTATTGCGTGGGCAATGCTGATCAGTGCGTCGCGTCGGATTGACCGATAAAAAGCGAATCGAACGTCGACATTCCTGAATCGATTTCAAGTTGTGCGTGTTCGTGCGTCCCACGTAAGGTGCTAGCATATTAATGCCACGGTGAAATCCACGCCTTAAGTTCGTTGCATATTAAACGAGACCGAGCGCGATTAACGAGATACGTCTTTGTCTCTATTGGCGCGTACAGGAAGTGGCGGATTGTCAGCCGAGCGGTGTAATCAATCGTTAATTACTGATAACGTACATGTTACAGATATCGTGAGCTTTATGAACGACGAATTACATTTATTGGAAAGTTCCTTATGTAATTAACGAGAGCGTGAGAATGGTCGTTATCTGCAGGCGCATTATAATAGCTTCCCTAGTTTCATTAAAAATAATTGAACACTAAAATTGGTTCATATTTTACATTGTTCACACAATGATAAATCATAAAAAGAAGTTTTCGAAAAAAATTATAAAATATGAAGTTAGAAAATTAGAAAATATAAAGAGTTTTGATAATTTTGAATAAATATGGAGATAATTTTGGATAATAAATATAGAGAGTGCATTATTAAAAAAAAATGAATTGCTATTAACAAATTGTTTTTAATTATTTATCTTTACTCATTTCCTCCTTGTGATAAAGTTTCCTGCTTTGAATCCGAAAATATCTAGTCTCATTACTCAAATACTGCCGCGAGCGATCGAAGTCCGATAGAAAATTCCTGCACCGTAGAGACGTTAGG